CCTCCTCCTCCTCCTCCTCCTCTTTGGACGCCCGAAATGGGTACGGAAAACATGGGCACAATGCCCAACAACAAGTGTTGTCCCAAACCAACAGCGGCCGCTATTTTGGGCAGGCGGCCTTCTGTCTCGAATGGACACAGGCCGCGGCGGCGCGGACAGCGAGTCCTGCTCAAAATGAACAATACCGCTGTTGAACATTGTATCCTTTTTTTCCGTGCTCATCTCGTTCGCGCAGATCCTCCTCCTCCTCCTCCTCCTCCTCCTCCCTCCTCCCTCAACCTCCTCCTCCTTCCTCCTCCTCCTCCTCCTCCTCCTGGACAGACTGTGGGAGTGACCATTGCACTCGATTGCAGGCGGAACTGCCCGTCCAAGCTGCGGCGTTAAAGATCCCCTTGGAAAAGGCTCGCCGCCACATCCATGATCCTAGTGAGCAGTCGGATGACCATAGGCTGGATCGAGCAGTGTCTGCAAGCAGTGGCGTCATCTGCTCGGTGCTCCTCAGGCGGAAGCCCGTCATGTTTCTCCGCATGGGCGGTCTGCAGCTCTGTTTTCACCTTGAGATGTACCTCCAAGTCCAAGACTGTTGGCTGTTGAATGTGTGATGCCGCACCCTTCCTCTGGAAATCGAAATCCGAGCGGTCTCCGCATATGTCCAGAGAGGCCGCAGAGCAGCCTTGTAGACGCACTTCTCCCCGCAATCGGCCTCGGTGTCTGATTCGATGTGCGTCTCAGCGGCCACGGAGTCCTGCATGCCGCCGTGCATAGCCTCCTGGTCTTTCAGCGTTCGGCGTCGAACATGTATTCGTACATATCCTGCCGTTCGTCCAGCGGGTACTCCAGGAGCTGGACGGCCAGCTTCTCGATGACCAGCTCGCCCTCGGACGCGACGCTGAGAAGGCACCGCTCCGAAGCGCCGATGCACGTGGTGCCGTCCCTCCCCCCCCCTCCCCCTCCCCCTCCCGCCCCTCCTGACCCTCCTGCCCCGCGCCTTGGAACGCGGCTGGCTGTCCGGCAGCGCGGCCGGGACCCGCACCTCCAGGGGGGGAGAGCGGGGGGGGGGGGGGCGGGCAGCGGGCAGCGGGCAGCGGGCAGCGGCAGGGCCCAGCCGCGGGGCGGTGCCCCCGCGGGGCGGGGCCCACGAAAGCCCGCTGGCCGCCGGGCGAGCCGGAGACCTCCCTGGGCGGCGCGCGGCCCGACGAGCGGGCCGCGAGACGGCCCTGGCGCAGCCTGCCGGGGCCCGCGCCGAGGCCGACAGGCCGAGGCCCCCGGCCAGCGGCGCTCTGCGCACAGCCTGCCCCCGCCTCGGCCTGCGGGGCACACGGGAGCGGCCGCCGCCCCACGCAGGGCGCCCCGAGGGGCTCCGACGGCCGCCCCGGAGGCCCTGCGGGGGAGGTGCCTGGAGCCAGCTCGCAGACGGCCACTGGCGCCTCGCCACCGACAGCCCCGGCGCCCACGTGCGGAATCTGTCGCTCAGGCGAAGCGCCGCCAAGGGTGTAAGAAAGGTAGCGATCACCAGAGGCCGCCCAAAGGACTAACAGCAGGATGCCCCTTTCTTTCCGTGCTGTCCTCCTGACTTGCCAACTCGTACCGAAGACAGCCCTCGCACGTCTGAGGCACTCGCCTCCTGACTCTGCTGCTAGCCACCGGACCTGTTCTATCCCAACTGCACCCAGGATCCCAAGCCCCAGGCCCTCACAAGCTGGATCGAGATGCTGGCATGCCGCTGGCGCGGTGCTGCTCTGATGCAGAGTCTGGCGCCCAGTGCTGAAGTACTATCTGGCACAACGCCAATGCGAGACGCGCACGCGCGGTGCTAGCACACACAGAATTGGCACACGATGCCAACACGCACTGCTGACACACCCTTTTTGGCGGTCGCGGCCTCGCGCGCGGCGACGAGGCGGAGAACTACTGACTCAAACACGCACACACGCACGCACGCACGCACGCACGCACGCACGCACGCACGCACGCACGCACACACACACACACACACACACACACACACACACACACACACAAACACACACACACACAAACAGAAAAAAAACATACTGGCGCACAATGCGAAGACTCGAGCACCACACGGGGTCAATCCCCATAAGGAAGGAGGAGGGGAAGGGGGCACCTATCAAAATGTTATAGTTGGGCGCAAATGGTGCCCTTGGAAGTTCCCAGCGTGGCGCAGATGTTGGAACGAGCCTGTGTGCATGTGCATCTACTCCCCCGAAAGGATTCCAGCTCCCCCAGTGCAAGCTGCTTGGTCTGTTCCCTCCCAGACTTCAAACCATCCCAGGCGGTAATTAGGTCCGCGAAGCTCAAGACAACGAATTCTGAAGAAAGAACGTTTGCTTGTCTACTCTCTCCCCAGCTTGTGTATACCGTGTTCCTCTTGCTCCCTGATAGGCTGACTTTTTCTTCCGCTTTATCTTCTCTCCCATTCATGATGGCGATGATCACCGTCGTCATCACCATCACCAGCAGCGACACCACCTTTACAATTAGGTCGGGCATGTCCTCATACAGGCGGATTTGGGGCGAGAGTTCCAAAAAAACTCAACAAATTCTGAAAGATACTCAAAAATAGTCGAAAACTCATCCCCAGACTAGTTTTTGACCACTTTTGAATATTCCTCCTGTGGAGGGACACGCCCGATGTAACTCTACAGACGTCTCTGTGGAGGTCCGACGTCCTCTGTCTTCAGTGCGTGCGGTTCTGGAGCCTTCGACCCAATCTTTGTGGCGCGGACGTTCCGCAGAGGGCTGTTGCGCCCAGGGCCCAGCGCCCAACGAGCCCCCAGGCTCGAAAGTCAGGTCGGGCATGTCGTCCTACAGGCGGATTTTGAACGAAGCATAAAAAAACAGTCAAAAAACCGCTCAAAATTAACCAAAAATAGTCAAAAATCGCCCCCGGACTATTTCTTGACTATTTTTGAATATTCCTCCTGTAGAGGGACACGCCCGACTAAACTCTAAAGTCAGAAAAACCGTCCCGGGGCGGGGGGCTCGTCAAGGGCGATATCCTTGCTCCTCCAAGGGCACTCGACGAGACGCGGCTGCTGGAGAGAAGTCCCCGGGGGCCTGGTAACCCCACGGAGCCCACCAAGACCTTCCAGGAACCTCGGAAGGCGTCGGACGTCTGGGCGAGGGGGCTGCCTGGGACGGCTCTGGCACCCCCAGAGGGCCCTCGACGGGCGCAGCCGCTGGAGAACACCCGAGGGGAGGGGCCTGAGAGCCTTCGAAGAGCGTCCGGGAGCCTCCAGCGAGCCTCCTTGCGACACCCGGAAACCACGGGACCTCGAGGTCGCCCGCTCTCCCGAGCGCTCGTGCCGCGCGCGTCTTCCGCCGACCCCGTCCGCACCGCCGGGAGCCCGCGACGGCGGCGGGCCATAGCCGCCGTCGTCGCCCCCGCCGCCGAAGTCGCCGC